ATGTTGGATGGATGGAATAATTTATTCATTCATTCATTGAAGCTGCTGGTGTTTCCAGCTTCAACTCTGGATTCTGACTCTGGTTCATTTTACTGTAGAACCTGAGAATCTTCATGGAGGAGTCCCAGTATGTTCTTCCCAGTATGTTCTTCCCAGTATGTTCTTCCCAGTATGTTCTTCCCAGTATGTTCTTCCCAGTATGCTCTTCCCAGTATGCTCTTCCCAGTATACTTCCTTTTGCATGTAAAGCATAAAACAGACCCAGATATAAACAGCAGATTGCTGCTTGTTATCGATGATCCAGCAGCAGCCTTCTAGAACCGGAAAATAATTAACTTTTATGCTTAAACTTTTACAGGTGGTGCAGCTGAAAAGTTTCTGAACATTTAAAAATCTGAACCTGGGAACTAAAATAAACTGAAACATTTCTATTATTTTCTATGTTCTATGGAGCTGAAGATCCGCCTTCACCACAGGGGGGCGCTATCGACCAACCTCACTGCAGCTGCTTTTTATTTCTTTGCTCTCATTGTGTTTGCATTTGTGAGTTCAGGTTCAGAAATCCTCCATCTCCGGGGGAGGGGGGGCGGTTCTGATTGGTCCGGTTCTGCAGCTCTTTGCAGCGCAGCTTTGAAGCAGCTCCGTTCTCCTCTAACCTGCCGCAGGTCTGCAGGGGCCGGTCTGCAGGGGAGGAGCGTCGGAGAGGCGGTCTCTGACGCGCAGTCAGCCTCACCAGTGGAGCTGCAGCGCAACAGGAGCAGAGGGAGAGTCTGAGGAGAAGGAGAAGCAGCTGCTGCTGGTGGATCATTCCTCCTCCGGAAGAAGGGAATATTGGGATTCTGTGGGATTACAGACTTTCTAATCTGAGGGCTTTTAAACCGGGATTGTTGGAACTGTTGGTGTTTTTCCGTCATCAAATAGATGCGACTGTGTGAGAGGAATACTAATGAACGGCGCGCTGCGCCCTGCTGAGGCGCACAGCTCCCCCCTCCCCCCCGCTGCTGTTTCTGACCCCCCCACCGGACGATCAGAGGAATTTTACAGCCACAGACCCAGGAATTAGTCAGAGCCTCTGAGGGTGGGGACAATCCTGCTGCAGGGTGGGGAAGCAAAATGGGGAACAGCTTCTCCAACATCTCTGCCTTCCAGTCGCTTCACATCGTCATGCTGGGTTTGGACTCTGCTGGGAAGACCACCGTCCTCTACAGACTGAAATTCAATGAATTCGTCAACACTGTCCCCACCATCGGCTTCAACACGGAGAAGATCAGGCTGAGCAACGGCACGGCGAAGGGCATCAGCTGCCACTTCTGGGACGTGGGGGGCCAAGAGAAGCTGCGGCCCCTGTGGAAGTCCTACAGTCGCTGCACAGACGGTATCATCTACGTGGTGGACTCTGTGGACGTGGACCGGCTAGAGGAGGCCAAGACTGAGCTGCACAAGGTCACCAAGTTCGCGGAGAACCAGGGAACGCCGCTCCTGGTCATCGCCAACAAGCAGGACCTGCCCAAGTCTCTGCCAGTGGCCGACATCGAGAAGCAGCTGGCCCTGAGCGAGCTCACGCCCTCCACCGCCTACCACGTCCAGCCTGCATGTGCCATCATAGGTGAGGGGCTCCATGAGGGGATGGACAAGCTGTACGAGATGATCGTGAAGCGGAGGAAGTCCCTGAAGCAGAAGAAGAAGCAGCGGTAACATCAGCTGGACTCTGAGAGGAATTAGGCTCCACTTGTTGAAGCTTCAGGATGGACCGATGACCTCGCACCAAAAACCAGGCAGAGAGAAACAGGCTGGCCTGTTTCCTTCCTGACCCAAAGGAACAGTGCAGATATTCACAGGTGAACTTTTCTCACCTATTGTGGAAAAATGTCTTATTGCTGAAAGTTTCCAGCTAGTCTGTTTTTTTTTACTGATTTTACAGTAAATCCAACTTTTCTACGTCTTGCAGTTGATTTGCTGAGTTTGAACAAAGTCCAGTTTTTCCAGCTGGAGCTGCTGGTTTCGACGGCGCCGGCTGGTTCCCATTTTCCCAGCATACCGTTCCTACAGTTTAACTAGATTTTTATTGACACTGCTGGTCAGCTGGCTGAAAGGAGACAACTGTGTATTTCTAATACTTAAAAAAAAGCAGTCAAAGTGTGAAATCCATCTCTGAGTGAATTTAACTGATAGCTGCCATCTGTTCATAGTCACAGTCATGTCCTAAATGTTTCATCATACCATGAAGCTAGGCTATCATCCTCTCATAGCGCCCCATGCTAACAAGAGGGCTAGAGGTTATCAGGGCTAACCAGGTAAACTATGATGTCACAAACCCCACCTGTTTTATTTCTGAAGTATTTAGGTTTATGTTTTATTTCTAAAAATCAGAGCCAGACTCAGTTAGAGCAAAGTCTGTGTTAAATGTGTTTGTTGTCATTGATCCTCTATATCAGGGGTGTCAAACCGGTTCCAGAAAGGGCCGTATGGCTGCAGGTTTTCTTTCCAACCAAGCATTGAACGATGTGCTCTCACCCAAATCAATCAAGGGAGTCCAATCTGAACATGATGACTTGATGAGATGACTGGAGTCTGGTGTGCTACTGCTTGGTTGGAAAGAAAACCTGCATCCTCATGGTCCTTTCTGGTACCAGTTTGACACCTGTGCTCTATATGATATTATGATGGACTGATGATTAGCTCTGTAGCCAAACAACTTGATCAATATCGGATGAGTCTGTCGTATTCCCCCAGATATCAACATTTTCACTTCAAACTGTTTATTTTACTAATATTTGTGAAAGCAGCGTCACTGAAATGAAAGAGAAGCTACGTTAGCATTCTCACTAGCTGTTAGCCTTCCATTGCTCCGAGGACTTTCCTCAAATTCACTGTAACTGGATGTGGAAACAATTTCTGATGAATCTGAACGTGTCTCACTGGACTGGATCCACGGTTGGCTCCATCTTTGGATGTGTCTAAGGAATCATATTTTGCACGTAGCCGGGGCCACTGGGGCCTCCGGGGCCACTGGGGCCTCCGGGGCCACTGGGGCCTCCGGGGCCACTGGGGCCTCCGGGGCCACTGGCTACCAGGGCCTCGGTTTCCTCGCAGACGACCGTAGTTTCTGATGAATATTATGGCTCTCAGACTGTTGTTGTTTTTTATTTTGGAGCATTAAAGTAGCCTTTCCTCTGCATGGTGGACTGAGGACAACCTCCACTACTTTTGCACTTTTAATTTGCCAACAAACCAGGAGGAAACGACACTGTATGAATAAAGATGCAGATCCAGGTTGTTTATGTACCAAGAAAAATAAATTGAAGTATTTTTGAATATTAAAAGATTTTAAACCCAGAATTTGTCCAGTTTGCTTCTTCTTTGTGTTTGAGCGAGCAGCTATAAGGCAGGCTGTGATTGGTGGATCTAATTTAATCAATACAATCTCAGGGTGGGTCAAAGGTCATTTGTTTTACACTGAGGGGTTAAAAGGATGAGTGGGAAAAGGAGCTGGTTTTATAATCAGAGCAAAGCAGCAGCAGGTTGTTAGATTTATGGATCTGCATTGCGGTGCAGCATTTATGGCAGCAGACATGGACCAGATTGG